TCAAAAGCACGGTCCTGAGTTCAATCCCTGGTACAAAAAAAAAAAAAAAAGAAAGAAAGAAAGAAACCATACTGCAGGACACATTGTTGTAGTGATCTGTGTTCAGTGGTACTTCTCTTCCATAACTTGGCACTGTCATTTTAATTATCTAGTCATCATTTGTATTCCTCAAAGACAGGATGCTCGTGGAAGCTGGGGATTATATCAGAACAACTATTTTATCCTTAGGGCACATTAGAGGATGACATATAGTGAACAGTTAGTGTCAGAATCATATTTAGTAAAAAGTCTAATTTTTCTTTTCTTTGTCTTTCTTTTCTTGTACTGAGGATTGAATCCAGGCCTTGCACACACTGAGCTACAACCCCAGCCCCAAATGTCTGTCTGATTTTAGACTAACTGGTGCACTCGGTGCCCCTAACATTTATGAAAGAGTTCTGACCAGACATTCTCCCCACTCACTATCTCTACCATCTTCACTATCTAACGTTCACCATCTCTCCCCAAACACAGCATCCTAATGAGAGACAGTAGAAACAATGCTAAATGTATGAGTTTCTAGCCTTTTTGCTCTGATTCCGAACTCTGCCACTATCCAGCAGTAACTCCGGGAAGTCACTTTTACCACTGTGGATCTCACACTAGAGACTGAAGAGGTGAACTGGACTAAAGATCTCCAAGGACTTCTGTGGATCCAGCTCCAGACTGACACAGCCATGAATTAGTGAGGGTACTAAAGGTACAGCCCAGTGCTTACCCACACTAGAGGGAGCTACGTTCATGTCATTGCTGGGGTAGTTTAGAGACTGCAAGAAAAAGCATCTCACATGGAAAACTGCCTTGCCAGAGTGACACAAACACAGAATCAAGTGAGGTTTCCACACTGCACACACAGTCACGCTGCACAGGCTCTCACAAGTGTCAGAACCCCTCGTACCTCATTAGCACACTGTTTGACTTTCATTTTAATTCCATGAGAACTAAGGACCTTCAGCCACTCCTAGAGATGTCATGTCTTTCCCTATCAGCTGATTTCTTCTTTAAAAATAACAAAAAAAAAACAAAGTAAGTCATGATGTCAATGAAAATTCCCAAAGAAGGGAGCAAGAGGAGGAAGGGGATGTGCAGCATAGGAAAGCTGTGGCCTGAAAAAGACAGTGAAGTTAACCACAACTGAATCCATTAGCAGCCTGCTATGCAAACCCAAAGCTACTCAAAAAGACAGAAAAGACCACAGAGGTGAGGAATCCACCCAGCTCTCTCTGCAAGGTGGGTGCTGGTAGGCCTTGGGGAATAGCTTCTCAGCAGCGGGTAGGAGCTCACAGCTGAAGAGTGATGTTGCTAATGAGAGGCAATGGGGTCACAGGTGGCACCGAGCAAGAAAACTGTCAAGGGACAGGAAAAGGGAATGTGGAATTGGGTAGGGAAGGAAAAAGCATCTCTAAAGCTGAAGCTTATTGTGACATGACCCTCTCTCTACCTCTGACACACCCTGACTTGAAAATGTTTGACCTAAACCATCACAGAACAATGAAACGCATCAAGCCCTCTCCCTTGGTATCAGCTGTGTTTCTCTTTGCCCAGGGGAACAATGGCATGTTAACCTGACAGACAGGGCATACATCATAGACATTACACAGTGTAGTCTGTGGGAGAAAGATAAATGCAATCCTGCAAAACCTCTTCTATTTAAATTTCAGAGATTAATGCAACTCAAAAAAGCAAAGCCTCAACAGTCAGAAATGGACCACCTACTTTTTAGGACACAGACTACTCCTGAGTAAAAATAGATTATACAGCAACTTGGGAAAGCCACGTTGTGGGTGAACAGAAAAATCTACTAGAAAAACAAACAGTTCTTTTTCACCTAAAAAGATGATATTCCAATCTCTAGAAGTAAGTACAGAGTAAAACTTTCCATGTTAAAGACAACTTATTCCTATGCATCCAAGTAGGTGGAATTCTGTACTTTTACTTAAATCACCAATTTCAATACTCCAGAAGTGCCAAAGCCTAACAAAGTCATGTGGATTTCTCTTTTCTTTTTTTAAGAACATAAAAAAGTTTTTTAAATAGTTCTTTCCATCAATGAGCCTCATGAAAAGCATAGGAAAAATATATTCTGCTGTTTGAAGGAAAACAACTTGTTTTCCTCCCTTATTTAGGGCACATGCCAAAGAATTTCCAATTTCCTCTCCATACTCTCTCATACTGACCTTCAAAATGTTCCGGCCATCAAATGATTCTCTTTCCTTGAAGATATATTTGCCATCCGCTGTGTAGAGATTGTACCTGCCTTCAGCTGTAAATAAATATTCCAAAGACAGTGGTGGAGAAGCTTGGGTTATTTATGTGTTTGTATTCCCCTGGATTTCTGTAAGTACACAAGTACAACTAGCCAAATTTTCATGTGCTACTGGAAAGTGCCATTATGTGGAGGGAAAAGCAGCAGGATATTAATCAACATACTGGCTTCTAGTGCCAGCTCTGCCACCCGCTCATTCAATATATGTTAATTCTTTTGACATTCCCACGTACTCACGCTAAGTACTTACTATGTAACTAGATATATCTTGCACAAATGAGGTATCCTTCTTGGACCTCAGTTCATTTACAAAGTCAGAGGTTGGGACTAACTGATTTCCAAAAGCGCCTCACTATCTATAAACCCAAGATGAGCTGCCTGCAATTTAAAAAAATTTTTTTTTTTTGGTACCGGAGATTGAACTCAGGTCCTTGTGCTTACAAGGCAGGCCACCGAAAACCGCTGAGCTAAATCCCCAGCCCAAAAATGTTTTTTGTTTTTTGTTTTTTTTTTTACAGTACTGCCTTGCACATATTAAGCAAGCACTCTACCACAGAGCTATACTGCCAATCCTACATGCTTTTTTAAATATGTAAAAATGCACAAGAGTTCACACATTAGTCAAAAGTGCTGCCCCCCCCCATGCTTTGAGTTGATTTAAGAGCTCTCCTCAAATGAAAAAGAGTCCTTTTATTGCGATCAGAGGTATCCTTACAGATATTCTACACTGAAATGCAGCAAATCCGTGACCTTGGCCTAAACAAAGCTGTGCTCTAGCTTCTGAGTTAATTTAGGTTGCATATCCCAAAGGATACCCTTACAGGGCAGCAAGAAGAGGCAGATCAAAGGAAAGGGAAACAGAAAAAAGAAAAAGTAACACATCATTTCATGTCCTTTTCAAGTAAAAATTCAATACAGAGAAGAGTACAGGGAAAAGAAAACTCAAAGCATCAAAAATTACTTAACCTGCAAAATATTTTCTATATCAACCCTTTGTTGTCTACAGAAGGACCTTGAAAAACATTCAAATTGCTTTTTTTTCTCTCTCTTTTCTTTTCTTTGTTCCTCTCTTTATCTCCTTCCTTCTCTCTGTGGTACTGGAGGTTGAACCACCCATGGAGAACTAGGCTACATCCCAGCCCTTTTTATTTTTTTGTTTTTGTGATACCAGGAATCGAACTCGGGACTTTGAGCTTGAGGGGCAGGGGGTGGAACCACTGAGCTAAATCCCTGGCCCCCAGCCCTTTTTATTTTAAAACAGGGTATTGGTAAGTTGCAGGCCTCAAAGTTGTGATCCTCCTGCTTCAGCCACCCAAGGAGCTGAGATCACAGGTGTGTGCCACGTCCACCCACACTTTCCATCTTTGAGTATGTTCTTTTATTTATGTTAGAGAGGACCAGAAATCTGTCCAGAGTTCTAACAATTCCATGAACACACTACTACAGTTTTAGCTATATGCATGGGTAACTGTGGAACTATTTCTCTAATGAGAAATATCTCCTAATCCAAGCCCTCAACCCTATATAAGTTTCCTTGGTACGAAAAAGAGAATATGTGCAGTTTGACAGTTAAAGGTGGGATGGGGCCTGGAGATGTAGCTCAGTGCAAGACTCTGGGTTCAATTCTCATTACCAAAACACCAAACCCTAGCAGAACCTAGTGAAGACATATGACAAGGCTTTGATGGCATTCTATTTAAATGGCTAGTTAACCCTGTACACCCTGCTTATCACTGTGTGCCACAGCTTTGTGAGTACGTACCATTGGGGTCTTTCCTGAATAGTGTATTCATGACCGTAGCATGCAGCTTCACACTATTCCATTCTTTCACTATTAGTCCAGAAGCCTGAAAGCGTTCCAGTACTCGATCCACCAATTCCTGCAGCCTGGAAGAAACCAAGAGAGAAGTACAGAAACTTTAGTCATTTCCTAACATCCTGGCTACAAATTCAATGTGTCCGAAGCCCCTGCTCTGTCCAAACACTGCAAAGCCCTACAAAAAGAACAGAGGCTGCAGCCCCCACCAGGGTGGAGCCCAACTCATGAAGGAGGCAAGAGTAAAGCTGGGCACAATAGCACATGCCTGTAACCCCAGCTCTCAGGAGGCTGAGGCAGGAGGGTCATGAGTTCAAGGCCAGCCTGGACTACGTAGCATGACCCTATTTGAGATAAACGTGTAACAAAAAAAAAAAAAGAAAGACAAGTGGAAACAATAGCTGTAATTCTTGTAGGTTACAGTGAGTGTGAAGGGGGTGATCTGTTGTACATGCAGAGGGCCAGGTTTCCACAGAAGGTTTAAACGTGGGTCTTGAAGGATTATAAAGATTTGCAGACAGAACTAGGGAAGGAAGGGTACTTCAAGCAGCAGAAGAAATAGCATGTGCAAAGATGCCAAGACATGCAAAATCAAAGACTGGGTAGAAACTGCCAATTACTGAATACAGATACAACACAAGGGAAAGAAGCAGACGATGGAAATGAGCCAGATATACAAGTAGCAGTAAAACTCGAGGAACCACCATGAGACTTTCCACAGATGCAGCGCCATCTGCTGTCCACTTCTGAAAGCTGGCTTGAGAAGCAATGCAGAAGTGCCGGAGAAGGGGAAGGGAGCAGCAGGAGAGATCAGCGGTGCGGGGCCGACTGGAGAGATGACATCGAGCGTGATGTGACAGGCACTGTGCCAAGCACTTGGTGTCTGCTGAATCATTTAATCCTTACAACAAATCATTACCTGTTTCACCAATGAGAAAACTAAGGCACAGAAAAGTTATGTAACTCAGCAAACTCAGGGGCAGATCCAAAATTAGAATGTAGGGCTGTGACTGTTGCTCGGTGGCAGAATACGTGCTTAGCATGCCCAAGGCCCTGGGTTCAATCCCCAGAACCATACATGTGCTCTCTCTGTCTCTCTGCCTGTGTTTCTCTGTCTCTGACATACTCTTAGGGAACAGCAGTACAGCTCAGTGGCAGAGGGCATGCTTAGGACACACAGGCCCTGGATTCGATCTTCAGCACCAAAAGATCTAGGAAGCTCATTAAAAATTTTAAATGAATTTTAAAAATTAGATCGCATGTGGTCGGGCTTCAGAGACCACGCTCTTCAGGGCCACATTATAACAGGAATATAGTGGTGACCTAGACTATGGCAGGGGCAGTGAGAACCGAGACAAGGATGTGGACTATGCAAGAGCAGCGAGCAGGGCTGAGGAGAGGAGCAGGCTGAGAACAGCGCTTGAACCATCCCTGATGACCGCCAGTGACCAGGTGGGTTAGTCCCAGAGGTGGACAGCAGTGAGCAGCAACTGTCAACTGTGCCGCGTGGGGAGAGAGTTAATACTGTATGAACCTGTGTGTATGGTGTGGGAAATCAGGTCAGACACATCAAAAGAGATGGAAATAAAAGCTGGAGATCAAGAGAAAAATCCAGGCAACACTGCAAAAAACAGCAGTTAAGAGCATGGGGACAGAGGCCATTACGGACAGAAGATTCAGCATGAGACAGGAAGCAAAGGACAGAATGTGAGGGGTCACTGACCTTCATAAGGGGCAGAGAAGGAGCCAGCAGGCGGTGCTGGTCAGGATGAGGAAACAGGAGAAGACTTCAGAGGGGCTAAAAGGGGAATTACAAGAGAGGGCAAAGGAATAATCAGTACAGTACAGAACTAGGGAAAGTAAAGTAAGACAATACTTCACATTTCCTACAGTAAGGAAGCTCTGTCACAACAGTGTTGTTTGGCACACTGAAAACAGAAGCCTTGTGATGAGGACCAAGGGAAGAACCCAAGCAGAGTGGGGCATAAATGTGTACTACTCTTTCACGGAATTGAAAAGGAACGAGAGACATGAATGCCTTGGTAATTATAAGATTCAGAGTTGAGGGAAGGTTAAAAATTTTTTGAAAAATGCTTGCTGACAGTAAGACATTAGCCAACAAAGAAAGATGAAACCTCAGGCTGGAGAGGTAAATGGACAGAACAAGACCTCGAAGCAGACGGGGCGGCAGTGCCTGGTGGGGGTGGGTCACACAGGCAGACAAGATAGGTCCCCGGACTCAGGCAGGTTCCTGGCCAGTGGAAGGCGACGGCCCACAAGCACATACACATTTCTTCAGGGAGAACAAGGGGACTGGGGTAGTTACACTGCTTTCGACAAGGTGACAGGGAGAGTCTCCCTGACAAAGTGACATATGAGCACAGAACTGAGGGAAAAGCACCCCAGAGAGGGAATGGCAGACATCAGAGGCAGTATGTACAGGACATGACATGGTAACAAAGCCACTGTCTGGGGGGAAACCCAGGAGAGGTGATGAGGTCGAAGGGGAGCAGAGGCAGGTGGCACAGGCCCTTAGGCTGCTGTGAGGATTGGGCACTGAGGGAGGGCAGAGCACTCGGGGTTTGCAGCAGAACAACGCCATCTGGCTGCCTGGTGGAGCATGGACGGGGTGGGGCCAGGAAGGCAGCTGAGAAGTTGCTGCAACCCTATGGCCAGGGCTGTGGGAGACAGGGAAGATTTTCGGATACGCTGGGTCAGAAGGCCAAGGTGATTCTAAAGAACTGTCTAGGGAACAGAAAGACCAAATACCACTCTCAAGGATCCATGAGAAACCCTGAGGAGAGAAGGGCAGCAATGAGAGGAAACCAGGCTGAAGCCAAGCTGTGAAGGCTATGAGGCAGGAAGGGCAGGAAGAAGCAATGAGTTTCTAGAAGCAAGAAACAGGGGCACCCAAAGGCCAGGAAACCAGTTACACAGTCACACAAAAAAGACAAATGCACGAGGCTCTGGATGTGATGGAGGAGGGGGAACTACTTCCTCACACAGTTTTGGGTTTTCTTTTCCTGGTTATAAAAATAATGCTTATTGGCCAGGTGTGGCGGCACATGCCTGTAATCCCAACACTCTGAAGGCTGAGGCAGGAGGATTGCTGCGAATTTGAGGCCAGCTTGGACTACAAAGTGAGTTCAAGGCCAGCCTGAACTACATAGTGAGACCCTGTCTCAAAACAACCAAAAAACAAAAAAAAAAACAAAACAAAACAAAAAAAACAACAAAACAAAACAAAACAAATATATATATATATACACATACATACATACACACACACACACACACACACACACACACACACGTCTTGTTTTGGTGTCATTCCTGTCTATCCTAACAAAAAAACAAAACAAAACAAAAAAAACAACAAAACAAAACAAAAAAAAAAAATATATATATATATACACATACATACATACACACACACACACACACACACACACACACACGTCTTGTTTTGGTGTCATTCCTGTCTATCCTATTTCTATCTTTTGGGATGGGAATATTTATTTTATGTCATTATATGTTCTTAGTTTCTTAGTGTTTAACTTTCTTTTCGTCTCTGTCTCTATAGGGGCTCACAGCTAAGAGTTTGCCTCAAACGTCAGGCAAGACTTTAGATGTGGACTTTTCAGCAATGCAGAAATTGTTAGGGCTTTGACACCTCTTAGAAATGAACTAAATGCATTTTGCATAAAAGGATGCATGTGACTCTTCTGAGGGGTAGAGGCAGAATGTTATGGCTTGTATCTATGTAGATGGTCCCCCAAAGCCTTGTGCTCATACATGTGGCTTTTGGGAGGTGACTGGATCATGGGTGTGCCATACTGAGATTAAGGGTGTGTGGTACTGAATCAGTCCACTAATTGGTTAGCATTTTTCTGAGCATGACTAAATGGATTTATTGAAAACAGAAGCCTCATCCTGGGTGTTGGTGATACCAACCAGTAGACTTTTTCACTTTCGTTTTTTGAGACAGGGTCTCACTATGTAGTTGAGACTGACCTAGAACTTACTATGTACCCCTGGCTGCTCTTGAATTCACAGCAATCCTCAAGTGCTGGGCTTACAGGTGTGCACTACCACACCTGGCCCAACCAGTAGGTGTTTAGCTTGAATGGAATAAAAGGAAAAGGGAGACTCATTGTTTGCTACTTTTGTACCTACCCTTCTATGGACTGTTTCTTTGCCATGTTGCCCTGCCTTGAACCCAGCTGACTATGGACTAAAACCCCTGCAGACTATCAGCTAAAACAAACCTTTCCTCCTTTAAAGCAAAACAAAACAAACTAACAAAGTATTCTTCGGTAGCTTTATCATGGGACAGAGCTCTGGGGGTTCACAAACAGAAGGCAGGCATGAATGTGCTGAATCTAAGCACTTAGTTTAAAGCTGCAAGTGCTATATGCACAAGCATCCAGAGCCATTGTTACAGGTTCGGAGTTCACACCCCAGGATGATCCCGGAAACCCTAGAAATACAAAGTCCAGCCTTGACTTTTTTTTTTTTTTGAGACTGGGTCTTGCTATATAGTCCAGGCTGACCTTGAATTTGCAATTTAGCCCAGGCTCGCAATCCTGCTGCCTCAGCTTAAATCCAGCCTTCTGTATGAGTTTTTCCCCTCCAATATAATTCGGTACTACCCAACTAATACTTCCTGAGTGCTTACCATAGACAGACACTATGGCTAGTCACTGCACGAGTGAAAACTCAATAGACGCAGTCTTCATTACTAACAAATCTAAAATCTGTTAAGATAACAAGGTGTTTGTTTGTTTGGTTTTTTTGCGGGGGTTTTTTTTTTTTTTTTTTTTTTTTTTTTGGTTTTTTGAAACAGGGTCTCACTATATAGTTGAGACTGCCCTGGAACTCACTATGTAGCCCAGGCTGGTCTTAAACTCACAGCAATCCTCCTGGCTCAGCCTCCCAAACTGGGATTACAGGCAAGTGCCACCATGCCCGGTCTTTTGTTTTCATTTTTATGTGAGATTACAAAGTAGGTTTCATTAATGAATTAAGCAATGCAAAGTGCTTTAGGTGATTTAAAAGTAGAGGAGACTAC